GACCCGCACGGAGACACCGGAGTGCCCGAGCCCCCCCTGCGCCGGTAGCCATGGGGGTCCCACCCCCAGCCCCTCTCCCGGGGGTCCCAGCCCCACAGTGGATCTCAGCCCCACAGCGGATCTCGGCCCCACAGCCCCAGGTGAGGGTCCCCAAGGGTCCCCAAGGGTCCCCACCCCCCGGGGGTCTCTCGCTCCCCTCCCCGCTGACGGACCCTTCCCGCAGGGCCCGAGGAGGAGGCGGGGGGGTTCCCGGCGGTGCCGGAGGTGCCGTGGGGGCCGTGGGGGCCGTGGGGACCCTGCAGCCGCACCTGCACCCACCCGGAGACCCCCGCGAGCCGGAGCCGCCGCCGGGACTGCGAGGGGGGAAACTGTGGGGCGGGGGGCAGCACCCAGAGCCGGGCCTGCAACCTGCCCCACTGCCAGGGTAGGGGGTTATGGGGGATCCCTGCAACCTGTCCCACTGCCAGGGTAGGGGGTTATGGGGTTATGGGGGATCCCTGCAACCTGCCCCACTGCCAGGGTAGGGGGTTATGGGGTTATGGGGGATCCCTGCAACCTGCCCTACTGCCAGGGTAGGGGGTTATGGGAGGGCTGTGGGGACCCATTGCGGGCTGGGGGTCCCGGGGGTCCTGGAGGATCTGGGGGGTCTTTGGGGTCCCTGCAACCTGCCCCACTGCCAGGGTAGGGAGGTTTGGGGGCTCAGGGGGTGCTGCTCCACTGCGGGGGGATCTGAAGGGTCCCTGCCCCACTGATGGGGGCAGTGAGGGGGGTCCCACTGACACTGGGGTTCCCCCGCAGCTCCTCCCTGCCTGACGCCCCCCTGCCCGTGCCAGTGGAGCCCCTGGGGGCCCTGGGGGTCCTGCTCGAGGCCCTGCGGGGGGGGGCAGCAGCGGCGGCTCCGCGCCTTCGCCCCCCCCGGCCCCGGGGACCCCTGGTGCCCCCAAATCCTGGGGGGCCACGAGCAGCGGCGGCCGTGCGGGGTGACGGCGTGTCGGGGTGCGGGGGGCTC